CAAAAACAGAATTGAAATTGATCAAACTCTCTAATAAAAATAAAACGAAATAAACCTGTGGTAGTGAAATAATTAATTCATGAATATTAGCTATTCGAGCAGCATCTTCAATATCATTTTGTGTCATTTCTCGACTATTATCACCATAAGCAATATTATCACGAATTGAAAGATTAAAAAGAACAGGTTCTTGTTGAACTAAACCTATTAATGATCGAAGCCATCGTATATTAAGAATTTTTATATCATTTCCATCAAGTAAAATTTTTCCTTCTAATGGATCATAAAATCTTTGTAACAATGCAATAGTTGTTGATTTTCCACCTCCTGATGGTCCAACAAGAGCTGTTGTACTATTTGTTAAACATTTTAATGAAAATTTTTTTAAAATAGGAAGTGTTATTCGACTTGGATATCGAAAATGAACACCACAAAATTCAATATTACCGATAACATTTTTCTAAATAATAAGAACAAAATAAAAACAATTTACTTTATTTTGAAATAGATAATAAATAAATTAATATACTAAAATAATGCCGGATTCATCATTAGGATCAATTTTTGATTGTCGCTCGTGAAGTTTCATAATTCTTAATGCTGCTGTTTTAGCTTTTGAATAATCAGAAACCATTGCTAATGAACGACCAACAGTCATCATAGCCAATGACATAACAGCAAATGTTCTATTATACAAAAATTTATTTATATAAACAAAAAAAAAAAATATCGATTAGAGATTGCTTTACCTGTACATCTGTTCATATTTTATTTCACCATTTTCGATAAGTTTAATACCATATCCAAAGCATGTACAATGAAGAAAGTATATTATTGATTGAGATATTGCAATGCTTATAGCTGATAGATGTAGACGATACATTTCTTGTCTAAATAATTAATAGACTAAAATGGCTGTAGAATAATAATGAAGTGTAGTACTTAAATTCTTGATTGAATGCATTTTCATAGAAATTAATAAAATGATTTTCTTGATGAAGAGCAACAACAGTACGAATATTTTCAATAGCTTGTGTTGCATACTATAACAAAAAGAATTAATCAGTATATAAAATAATAATTTTTTTTTTTCTTAAATACTTGTCCACCCTGTTCAATAAATGAAGTTTCATCGGTCAATTCAGTAGTTTTTCTCTTTTTTTGACCTTGAAATTTGTTAGTAAATATGATTAAAGGAGAAAAACACGATACAACCAATGTCAATTTCCAAGATGATAAAAATGAAATAATAAGAGCTGTTATAACAGCACTTATTGCTTGAAAAACAATACCAATACGAACACCAGTTAATCCCTAAAAGTAAATTTTTATATCATAAAATTATGAATACATGATTATTTTAATTACTTTAAGAGCTGATGCATCTTTTGATAGACGTGTTATAAGAGCTCCAGTACTATTTGATTCATAATCAAAATAACTAATTTCTTGTCGAAGCATTGCACTAAATGTCATTTTTCTCATACGCATTGTTAATTCTTCACCAGATTTAGCAAAACCAACACTAGTTAAAAATTGAGCTATACCTCCACCAATACCAATACAAAAATGAATTATAGCAGAAATAAGTACTAAATATTTTTGTTTATTAAGATCTGATTCAGCAAATGCACCAAACATTTTTGAAAGTGTAAGTCCAAAGATTGGTTGAGTAGCGCCTAATATAAGTGAAGCAATTGTACCTAATAAAATCCAATGTAATTCAGGAATATTTAATTTTGAAATTTTATATAAAAATGGAACATGAAAAAATTTCTTTTTTTTTGAAAGATGATCCGATATTTCACTTATATTATCATCATATTTATCAAACTCTCCACTTGATGCTATTGATTGTTTTGAAACTCTTCGATTAGCTAAAGAAAAATATAATTTACATATAATAATAATATTAAATAGAGTGATATGATATGTTAACCTAATACTTGTGGTGTTAATAATTTTTCCATATAATTATTATCTTCTTCATCATCTTCATCATCTTCATCATCTTCTGTTTCTTGTCGATTATGAGTTGTAACTAGTTGATAATAAAGACCTTTTCGTGACATTAATTCATTATGATTTCCTTTTTCTACTACTTGACCATATTCTAATACAATTATTAAATCAGCATTTTGTATTGTACTTAAACGATGAGCAATAACTATTGTTGTTCGATCGTGTTTTGCTTTATCCAATGCATCTTGTACAATACGTTCACTTGTATTATCTTTTTTTTTTTTTTTAAATCAATTTTAGTTTTACATAATAATAAAAAAGAATCAATAACTCACCAAGTGCACTTGTTGCTTCATCTAATAATAGAATCTTTGGATTTGATATTAATGCTCGAGCAATAGCAACTAAAATACAAGTATTCTTATATCCATCATTAATATGTAAGAAGCATCAATTCTTAAACTGCAGTTTCAAATAGGACTTTTGCTGTTAGTCAAGTCCGTCGGGTTCAACATTTTTAGATCCGAACACTATAGGCAACTGTTTTTGTATTACAGTTCTACTTTGTTTTGATTACTCTATCTGAAGCTTAGTGTCGCAACCAATTTTACATTCAAAGTTGAGCACGGCTGATATGAATCTTTGGATTTTCAATACAACAGATACGTTACGTTTGAAATGAACCTCTAGAAATTCGCACATTCGTACACAAATATCATATGCTTCCAATATTTAGAACTTCAAGTTTCTGTCAGTAATAGATTTTGAATAGTTAACATAGGCTACAGAACCAATTGAGATTAGTCGATTGTCTACCTCATCATCGAATTTCTGTCGATGATCTATACCAGTGATTTTCGTTTGATCAGGCATTCTCTTTGCTCGTTTTTTGGAGATGCATACCGTATGGAGAGATGCTGCAAGTATCAAAACTCATAAATTTTGACTATTTCTGAAGCTCATTTTTTTTTTTAATTCGATGAAACCTAATGATAGTTTCAGATAGAGTGATTTAAAAACTTAGCAAAACTGCTATGAAAAAATTGATAGAACAATGAATTTTTAATACCAAAAATGGTCATCTTTGAAACTACGATTGAGGAATAGGTACATTTATAGTAAATATTCATCTGACATACTTCGTTGTTTTTGACCACCACTTAATTTATCTCCAGAAGTTGTTTTATACTTCTATAAAATAGAAAATATTGATTATAAAAGAATTATAAAAATAAAATAAAATAAAAAAAAAACAAACCTGTGGTAATGCCATAATAAAATCATGTGCATTAGCCATTTTAGCTGCAGTTTCTACTTCATCATCTGTTGCATCAGGTTTTCCCAAACGAATATTATCTTCAATAGTTCCATAAAATAGAGCAGGTTCTTGACTAACTATTCCAATATGTGATCGAAGCCAAGCAACATTTAAAGTTCGAATATCTTTTCCATCAAGTAAAACTCGACCATCATCTGGATCATAAAATCGTTGAATTAATTGTACTATTGTACTTTCTTTTAACATTATATATGAGTTCATTTAATAGAAAAATAGACAATCATAAAAGAAAAACTCACTTCCACATCCTGATGGTCCAACTAATGCAACTGTTTTACCCGATGGTATTTTCAATGATAAATTATTGAGAACCTAAAGCAAAGTGTAACAATCAAATAGATCGAACTTTCATAAGTCAAAAAAATAAAACTCATTCATACAGAAATTTCGTCTCGTGCTGGATATGTAAAATGAATATTTTTGAATTCGATATCACCTGTAATAGTTTTTGGTTGATCACCTTCATCACTGAATGCATCAATCTTTGTTTTCTATTATATTAAAATATGATCATAGGAAAAATAATTGTTGACAATATGAAATTTTTCTTACTCGTGCTATAATATCAAATACATATGTTCCACTACCTGTAGCTTCGGCAAAATTTTGAATATGAGGAATAAAATGTGATGTATACAGTGTGGCAGACTAGAAAAATAAATATGAATTCATTTAATAGAACATTTTTTTTTATGATCAAATAAACATACCATACAAGCCACAAGAACCTTAAATTAAACAAAGACAACATAGAGAATAAAATCAAATATATATATATATATATATATATCGATTATCAACTTACCACAAAAACTGTTCCAGGTGAATAATTTGAACATTCAGTTCGAACAAGATATGGACCATACCTAAAATTATTTAAATAATCAAAGATAATAAAAATCAAAATATCATACCAAACTGTAACTGCAAATGACGAAAAATTAAAAATTGTATTTAAACCTTGACATATTCCAACATAAATACCTTTCTTTATTCCAATTCTTTTCGATTCTATTAGACTATTTGCAAATCTAAATTAATAATAAATGTAAAACAATTGAATAAATACTCATAAAGGCTAAGTCAATTAAAACAGGATATGATTATGTTCGATTTAACTTTAATTCTATAATGAGTTATAGAAAAGTAAAGTTTGAATGAACCTTAGTACACTCAAAAATTATCCAAAGAACTATCCGTTTCAAAAAATATTATATGTTCTATTATTTTTTTTTGATAGAAACATAACAGAAACCTATGGTTTTCACCATTCAAAAAAAAAAGACCCACAGCCATCGAAGTATATGAAAATTTGATTGATCAGCAAATTTTGCTGTAAGTTTTCAAAAATGATCTTATAAAACTATTTTCTTTTCGATGGACGCATGGTCGACAATATTAACTTGTTCCGTTCGAGAGTTATGAAACTTTCCTAAGATTTCCAATTCCAGTTAGCTGACCTATGATCATCTTGGAAAGCAAATAGACTGGGACAATTTATCATGCTACCTGGTCTGACTGTGTTATCTCAATATTTCAGTAATTCCACAATTGATCTGCATTCGAACCTAATAAAAATACTATTATTCGACTTAACACGCGCGGTGATTTAGTTCTGCCTAGTAAAAACTTAAGCATGTTCAGAAAAAAATTTGTAGCATAGAGAATCCACCCCAATGTGTACTATTCAATTTTTAAAAACACTATTTGATTGTTTAGTATTTGTAAAGAAAAAAGCAAGCAATTATTTTAATAATAATTCGGCGAAGGGAAAGTTTACATAATTCAATTTTTTGACGAATCTAAAGTAACTCAAAATAAGCCAGTCAAATAAAAATTAGCAAAACAAAAACTCGTAGTTTAAAGTTATATACATTTTTATTATGCAAAATCATTATGGCTAACAAATGAAAATATTCATATACCTTTCTTCTTCTTTTTTTTGACCATGAAATGCTGTAACTGTTCGAATATTTTGTAAAACTTCTTGTGCAATCGATGATGCTGATGCAAATGCTTGTACTTCTTTTACAGTATATTTAACAATCATCTAAATATAAAAAGTAGGGTTGTTTTTTTATAATAATCTATAAAATTTTCTATTACTTTAACTGTTAAATTAAATGTAAGAATTACTAATGGAGATATAGATAAGAAAACTAATGATAATTTCCATCCGACGATAAATGAATATACAAGTGAACCAAGTGTTCTTGAAACGAGTGTAATAAAATCAGGTACTTTATCACTGAATACAATAGAAAACAAAGAAATCAATATTTCATATAAAAGACTCAATAGATGTAATGATTTTTGACCTTACCTCATACCATCTTTGATTTTATCTATAGAATAAAAAAACAATACCAGACAACAAATAAAGCTATTGTATTCATCAATTTGTTTACCTAAATCAACAATAAGTCGATTACTCAATGCACCTGAATTATGTACATCAAACCAGCCGATTTCCTGTCGAAGTATATTACGAAAAAGTGCAAATCGAATACATCGAACTTGTCTTTCGGCAGCAATCATCCAACTACTCCAAGCAATCCAAGATAAGAATATACTCACAAACCCGATAAGAACATAATATTTGATAATATGTTTTATATTATCTGCCTGTGAAGTCTCTGTAGTATTAGTCAAGCCCGATAAGCTATAGAAAGAAAATCATATAGATAGAAATTAGATAAAGTCTGGTGTTAAAATTGATTTCGGACCAGGAACAGATTGCAGGATTCTACGAAGTTCTTTATATTTAAACTCTGACTCTTTTGTCGGAGGCAAGAAGTGACAAGTCAATTACTAAGAAACACTTTTCGACAAAAAAAAAAGACTCGGATAGACTGTAAAGTTTGACATGCTCTTTCTAATAAAAGAAAATTAACATATAAAGAAAGACGCTGAGAATATCACTATTGTCTCTCGGAGACAGCCCTCTGCAAATTTTATACGATTTAAATATTCTTGGTTTAAAACCTGTTCGAGAGTAAAAAGGGAAAATGGTTTAAACTAATGTATATTTACCATTCACTAGAATTCGTATAAGTGCTATTAGAATTCATATGGCTATAACTAACAAAACTATTAAGTGCTTTTTGATAAATAAAAAACATCATTGGAAAACAAACTAAAATACAAAAAGATGATATCGATTTGTTTCTATTATAGATGAAAAAGAATACCTCCACTTCCTATAGCTAAAAAAAAAACAAAAAAAAAAAAAAAAGAATAAATTTTATTTAAAATCAATATTTACTAACCAGCAATTGAGCCGATAATCATTAAAATAATATCTAATTTATCAGCAAATTTATAAATTTCAAATGGTTTCAAGTGACGTTCGTCAGATTTATATGATTTTATGAACTTTTGAAAAAAACTATAATAATCAAGAAGAGAAAAAGAAAAAAAAAATCGTTTTTTTTTAAATTTTATTAATATTATTTAAAATAACTCAACGGTATTTTAGATAAAAATATTGAGCTTTTTCGTGAAACATGTATTGGTTGCATGAAATCAATACCATTCGGAGCCGTGCTAATACTTGCTCGAATTTGATGTTGTACTTCGTAACTATTAAGTCTATCTTGAATTTCTTTGTTAAAGTTCTTATCATCCATTGGAACTCTTAAACTGTGGTTCACTATGGTATTTCTATTTGAATGAGGTCTATTAAAAAAAAGAAGAAAAAACAAATCTAATTTTTCCGTATACATTTCAACATACTTTTCAAAATCATCAACTATGTCATTCGATGATGATGATGCTGATAATAATTCGAGAGAAATAGGTTTATTTTGATGGGGTATAATAGGAGAATCTGGTCTTGTTTCAACACACAAAGTTTCCAATGATAAATCTGGTAAATCTTTTGGTAATGAAGCATGTAAAACTATTGGTGAGAATATTCGAGAGTTTGATAATGATGGAGTTGGTGAACTATTTATTGATCGAAATGACAAATTAGATGTTGAAATCTTTGTCAAATCCTCTTCATTATCAATATTATCATCCGATTTATAATCATGTGCCAGATCTGGCATAATGATATATATATATATAAAGCAAGTTACCTTTATAATCGATAAAATACAAATAACAGTCAATCACAATATTATATATTTATATGGCCGTATATAAAGGAATAAAATCTACCTACCTTTTGTGTCCTCATATGACATACAGCATGTTAGTGTCAATATTAATAACGAATCATTATTTTGACTAAATTTTCGAACAATGAATAGCCTTAGACTATGGCATAATGACTAATGAAAAATATACCAATTGTTCAATGTTCTGATGGTTTTTTTTTTTGTGTTTTTTCAGTCTTTCTTTTCATACAAACACAAATTCTATTACCATGTGAAGTGTATAGTCTTTTTTTTATTTTTTAAACATTTATACTAAAAAACTTGTCGATTAAATTAAATTGATACTCAATGAAGCGCGGACGATTAAAAAAACATTTATAACTACGTGCAAAATACTGTGTACACGTGCTATTTTCTTTCATTTGATATAGATGTCTATTAGATAAGTCATAGAGTGAACGGTATTCTTCTTTTACATGTATGAATGAAGGTTTATATTATTTCTTATTACTCATTTATCTACTTATACTAGGCATACAATCAATAGTGAAGGAGGTAGTAATAATCATTTGATAGCAAAGAGATACCTGCGTGGGCATATAAATCCGTATAGTTATTGAAAAACTTGAAAGAAAAGAAAAATGAACAAATTTTCTAGTCATTATAACAATAGATTATGAAAGACTTCATTTATTTCAATGTAAGATAAATAATCATTCATAGGGCCGAAAATCAAAAGTTTTGTATGTCTTGATATATCGAGTTTAGCGAAATACGGGTCATTTTGTAAATACATTTAACAAATTCTTGAACAATCATATGTCTTGTGCAGATAAGCAAGAATGTATCGCATTCTAACATTAGTAAGAGTAAGATTCTTCTATGATCCAGCAGGTTTTTGTATAAAAAAAAAGTAATAGGTTTTGTTTTCATTCATAAGTTTGCGACATGTACTTTTGCCGCTCGTTTATATACAACAATGAGAAGTATTTAAAATAACTTGTATGTTTGCACATCATACATTTATATATATGATGAATCAAAAACAATATGTTGCAAGTAAACTCCAGTTTCTAATAATTTTCTCATAAATACACATTTTTTTTTTCAAGCTTCGCTTTTTCACTGACAAGAATAGTAAAAAAAATAAACATATACAAATAATTTAGTATCGGCTGTATCTTTGAAATATAATGCACACATTAGATGCGAATTAAGATAGAATCGTTTAATGCATGATTAGAAATATCTTCCTATCAAAATCACGTTATTGACAGGTAATGCATTCATGTCTTAATATGATTGATTCAATAATTTGACAAGTGAATTGCTTCTCGATCACTGTATATGGATTTTCAAGCATGACAAAAGTAAACTTATATCAACTGCGTATTTAAAAAAAAAGCATCTCTATTTTTTATTTGTATTCCAAATATCAACGAAAATATTTAATTAAATTTTTATTCGAAATTATATTGAAATATAAATACAAATAGAATGTTAAACTTAAAAATAAACAAATATTTTTGAATATAAACCATTAATCTATATATATATATTCTTTTTTATTTTAAAAATCAACTATATGTCGAAAGAAAAATGAAACTCATTCATTCTCCGAATTTATTACATTTGAATGTGATATTTCGTAATTTGTACAAATAAAATGGTTATTTAAACCGATAATTATCTTTAATTTATCTCATTTTATGATCGAATATATTTGTTTATATTACTGTGATTAATTGGTTCTTTCTTATATTTATGTTAGTTTTGCATCAATTCCTTTATATGTCAACAGTTCTCCATATGTACGCTAAATCAAGATTTTTTTTTTGTTTATGTTAAGAATAAAATCAATCAATAGGATAATCATTTTTTTCTGTTATTTCGATTCGATTAACAGCAGCAATTTTTTTCCGAGTTTTGAATTAGAGATGCATTAATTATAATTCTTCGTATTGATCGAAATCAGTCTTGAAAACATCAGAATCGAATTATTAATTTATGTGAATATGTACATAATTAGTGTTGAATTTACTTTTCTTTTCAAAAAAATTGAGTTACGTATCTGACGTTAGTATTGATTTAACAGATCAACGAGGAAATCATAATAAGTCCTATTACCGATCATGTTTGTAAAGTATCTAGCAATGTCTGGCATTGGTCAAAGATGTAAATTAGAAATGAAAAAATAGTATACAGCTCTTTATTTATAAGACTGTTTTTCGAAGTGAACAATATTTGATAATAATACAAGTGGTATTACCAATCAATATACAACAGCGATTTATTTTTCTTTACAAGAAAAAATAATATGATTATTATACATGTACAGACAAACAACATAAAATGAATAAAAATATAAACAAAGTATATAGAAAGCTTATTCTTTTGTTAATTATAGAAGATATTCTATTTTTTTATAACAGTTGTCGAATTCAATTGAATTTGATTAGTTTTCATTGTTATAGATTATATATGTCTGATATTACTTGTAGAATACGGTTCGATTTGATTAGTTCTCCACGAAGGTGTTTTTCTACATAAAAATAACATT